GAGGGGGATTATTTTGAAGGGGATAACATAATTTTGGATGAATAAATGAATATTTTTTTATAAAAATGAAAAGTCACCTTACTTTTTGATCACACCTCATATGTATATGTTTTTGATGCTATAAAACCCGTTTTATTAGCGTGGGAAATAAATAAAAATGGTGCACGATGTACATCGAACGATGTTGAAACCACTTATACCAACTTAAATATTTCGCAATCTCAGGTTTATATCACACTATCGATAGTATCGATGAGTGGCACCCAGTTGGACACGGCTCAGTTGAACACGAGCCACTCACAGCGCTTGAGACTACAAAGCTCCTAAGCACCGATCGCTGTGATTGGTGTTGTCCAATCGAGCCGTGATCAATCGGGATCACCCCGTATCGATTAGCGATTGCAGGTTTGCGCATGATTTGATTTGTCAAGTGTTACATCGCCTAAGAAAATTTGTATATACAGGGTAACGAATATCTATCATGAAACTTTTTCCCTAGGATGGAAAATAAAAAGTGAAAATTTTCTCACATAATGATTAATTAGAATTTAATAACAATGAATTGGCTTATTTTGAAGAGAGAATCCGCTCCTTCGATTTTCAAATAATCCAAAAAATAAATCATCAGCTAAATGGGAGGGCTCCGATTGCACACATCGCATATTGCACACATGTATCGCTAATTGGCCAATTTAAAAATAAAATAATCTCATTGGCAAAACAGTAAAAAATTACTAGGCACCAGTTGATATGAGTGGTGTGTACATTCAGAACTGTAGGCTAACGGGATCCTCCCATATAAATAAGGTTGGGAAACGTTGAGTGGCCGGCACTTTTACTTTTTTTTGTTTAATACAGGCGGAAAAAGCTACATTTAATCTAACTAATCTCCATCCAAAACGGATCTGAACCGTGCATAGAGAACACATTCTGTTCCAATTGAATCGTTAAGGTGCGATTTCACGCTGACGCTAGACGCTCATTTTCAGCGTCAAAACAGGTCACGAGATCAAAATTGACGCTTGGTATTCGTCAATTTTGATCATGTGACCTGTTTTGACGCTAAAAATGAGCGTCGAGCGTCAGCGTGAAAAGACACCTTTAAGGTGCAGACACATGGAGCCGTCAAGCGTCAAGCAGCAGAAGCAGCAACCAATCAGCTGGACGATACTGGCAGTGGTGTGTCACGTCCGTAATAGCTTGAAAATTTCTTTCCGAACAGACTTAAGTATAGTCCGACTGGTAAACACGTGCACCAGAGAAGAACGCACCTGACGCTTCTCCCACACCCACCAACGGCACGGTCAATGAAAGGGGGCTTTAGGAACGCCCATGGAGGAAACGTAGAGAGACAGCAGAAGGTATCCGCGCGCGACATAGAACGGTCACGCCAAGTCCGTCTCCGCGATCTCGCCTGACCAATCACCGTGCCGTTCCCAAACGTTTCGCGCGGAACATTTCTAATTCTAATCGAAAACCTAATTCTAACTCCAATCGTAAATCTAACTTTAATTCTAATTGTAAATCTAACTTTAATTCTAATCGTAAATCTAACTTTAGTTCTAATCGTAATTCTAACTCTAATTATAAAATCCAAGATAAATTGTGGAATTAACTGTACTCACTAGTTGTAATCAGTAATATAAAATATATCTCTATATTTGAACAATTGCTTGAGTGCGTGATTCCTGGCAACCTCACCCTCCCGTTTACATTTAATATCATCGACATTAACGGAGGGCCGATCTAAACCGACGGGCGCCAGGGCACTGGATTGAGACGAGAAGCTTCTTCCTCCAACCACTGGGCTTGGGAATCGCACGGAGAGGACCCGCGGACACTTAAAGGAAAAGATCACCAGGTAGGTAAATTGCCTTGCTTTTCGCCAATCGAATCCGTCAACCGCGAACCGCGTATAGCATGTGCCCTTTGCACCCACGAGCGCGCGCCTCGATAGACGCCCGAATACTCGCGATTGGACCATACTCTGCGTGGTTGAATAGTGCATGTTGCGTCTCCGCGTTATTTTTCCAACACAAAGAGGACAGGACTATTAAATGTCCCGAATGTTATACTTCTGGGCCGGCGCATGAAAAGGGAAACTATCAGGGAGTCTTACGGCATTACATTCATTTGGGAGCCGTTGAAAGATTCGAATCCTGCAGCGTATGTTCGGTACTGACTGTCACGGTGCATGCTGTCGCGAGTTGTCCTGATTGCCCCGACGCATTATTCAGATTCATCGCTTACTTAGAGGAGACGGGAGAAACCCCGTGGATCGAAACGGAACCAACCATAGTCGCGATATCTAGCGTCCGACTGTAGCCAATCGGTGGGCTGGACAAGTCTCGTCGCGGAAATTTTATCGCTCGAAACGCGAAGTAGCATCCCACCATAGCCTCAGGATAGCGCCGATGCCGCCGATACCGGAGGCCGGCCGGTGCTCCCTCGAGACGTAACAGGTGTAAAAAATATTTTTTACGCCACTGCACTTATCGTCTCGCTGATTGGTTGCTGCTTCCGCTGCTTGACGCTTGACGGCTCCATGTGTCTGCACCTTTACACTTTGTGCATTCCTGTGTATGTTGTTTCACACGCTCTACCAATAGGAGAGCGCAAAACGCCATTAATCCAACCCAGGTTGGTGCAAACCCGGTCGGGCCGAAAACGCTATAAGATGTGTTTAAGCAATTGGAAAGCACCCTAGTGGTGGCTTTAGGAACGCACACGTTCGACACCACCGTCAAAATTTCGGCATATCGAGGATCGCGCTGGAGATGCTGTCGATAGTAGGATCATAATAAAAAGGAGGAAGGAGAGAGAGAGAGAGAAAGAGAGGAAAAAAGAAAAGAAAACAAAAGTGCCGCTCTTACACTTTGGTTAAATCGGTTCGTTCGACTTTACGCGGGTTTGGTTTCCGCGTTTACCC